GAGGAGGAGGAGGAGGAGGAGGAAGAGGAGGAGGAGGAGGGGAAGAGATAAGTGATCTAAAGGGGAGACGATAGGACAAAAAAAAAAGAGAGAAAAAAGTAATGATGATGAATACATTGGAAAGTTTTTTTGGCCCGGGCGAGGGTGTCAGATTGAATGGCCTGTGCGCATGTGCGAAGGTGTCCAAACTGACAATGCTGGTGAGATGAAGATAGTGTTGTTGCTGCTTCTGGGCTCACGGAGGACGACGARAGGAATCTACAAGCCGACAAGATGAGATCCAAGGCGAGGGCGAGAAAACTGGCCAAAAGTAGGTCTCGTTTTGTGTGTGTGCGTGTGTGTGTATGTGTGTGTGTGTGTGTTTTTCCTCCTCTCTCTTCCTACTTCTTACCGCGATCAGCCGCCTGCTCCAAACTCCCGGCTCGGGACATGTTCACCATGTGTCCATGTCATTTTCTTATAGCGTTAAAGCGACTCTTTGTCGAAGGACAAACACATTTTTTAACTTTAAAAAAAAAAGTCGCTCCAGTTCTGCTGCTCTCGCTCCCCTGCACGCGCTGTTTCCAGTGTCAAAAAGTTTCACGCGTGATGAGAAACGCCGCCGGTGCTTTCAATTCTTCTCAGTGCTTTCAAAATTAAAAAAAAAAAAAAAGGTCAGATAAACACGGGTCCACATCTCCGCTCGGACTTCTATATATTTGTTGCCTGTTTTGTCGGCTTGTCGGCGGGGTTCCTTTGACCCGCAGATTTCCCCTCTTTTCCTCCCCCAGAAGCTGGCAAGAAAGTTGTCGAAATGGATAGCAACTTTTTTTTTTTTTTATAGAGCCGTTCCAGGTCTTGTGAAATAACATTCCCGCTTTCAGAAATAGTGGGCGCTGTGGCACCGCTGCTGCTGCTCGGCTCACAGCGGCGCACAGCGCGCTCAGTCCTCCCGCCTGCAAAACACAAGACGCCGAGATGCGAATTTGGCACGAGGGCAATATTTTAATGAAGATTTGTTTTCTTTTTTTATTATTATTATGAGTCCCAGTCAATCCTGATAGATATCGCAAACKCGTTTRGCCCCAGGCCCACCGGACTGCTGCACGGTTCCTCCTCCAGGGAACGCCAATCAATAGTGTCCTGAAAGCGTCCATACCTTCTGCCTTCAGAGTGGGACTGCTGCGCGCGTCACGCGTGGAGAGAAAAAAAATCATGCATTCAGTTTGGGCGAACGTGAGCGGTGTTGTTGTGAAGAATGTTTACTGTCTGACATTTTGTTTATTGATGCTGCATTGATTCATCCATCGTGTTTTATTTATGTCGCCCCGGTCTGAGATGAATGAACTTCTTATTTCTTTCAGCGTTTAACACGAGTCATTGCTTTGTTTATGTTATTATCAACAACACATTAAAGAGGAATCTGCGAAGGCCTTCAGCATAATTTTAGTGGTTGTTAATTTATTTGTTTGACAAAAATTATTGTGTAGATTTAGAGACATAATTTATAAACTTATTTATAGCAGCTTAAAAACATTTTTGCGCATTTGGTTTTAGCGTTTATGTTGTTTACATTCTGCACACGTGTTTGCAGGCCTTTGAGCATTTATTTATTTATTTATTTATTTATTTATTTATTTATTTATTTATTTATTTATTCACACTTCATTACAATTCCACGAGAACGTCGGAGGTATTCGTCCAAGGCCACACATTATCAAAAAATAAATAAATAAATAAATAAAACATTTTATTCAAAACACAAAAGTTATGTCTTTAAACAAAATAAAATACATTTTTATACGGATTTTACTTCCATAAATATAATATTGTATTTTTAGCTTGTAAATAATAAAAGCATAAACAAACAATAAAAATAAAAAATATATACGTTTTATTTATTTACTTTATTTTTTTTCTTTAACCCCCCAGTGTTTATTTTTTTCTTTTTACCTTAATGCCATAACGCTACTTTTGTGCTCGGGACATGGATTGAGTTTCTCCAGTGAGATTAGGGGGCGAAGAAAAAAGGAGAGAAAGAGAGAAAACGATTGGAAAYCTGGAGCCTAATTAGGCTGCTTTGTAAAAATACTTAAACACGTGGAGGATTCTGCTGCTTGCCAGTAATTGCTCTCGGTCTTGATCTCTAAACAGCCCCTGATAGTCTGTTGATCCGGGTGCTAATGAACACAAAATGCCTGCWTGGCTTTGGAGCTGCGTGCGTCTCGCAGCTCTCTGCAGGCAGAGAGAGAGCCACAGGCCTCAGATCTGTTGCGTTGCAGCGGCGGAGGAAAGAGGAAACACAATCTTTGCAGACAGCAGGCATGAGAACTATCTTGCTCTTCTTAATATTCAAACCATCCCGGACCACAGTTTTTGAATATGACCTCGTGGGGAAATGTAGTTCTCCTTTTGATTGTGACGCTTCACAGGTGAAATGTGCTGCAGGTCCCACAGCTGATGTCCTCCAACTGCCTCTACATTTTCCTGTTAACCCTGGTGTGTGTTTTCTTCTCCTGGCAGATCGCTTATGAGAGCCTCAGACTCCTCAGCCTTTTAGGCAACAAAATGAAAATGTGCTTTCGGTTGATCGAACACAGCCGTTGCTCATATCAGCTGAACTGAAAGGTTTACGTCTCAAGTATTTCTTCTAAATTAAAATTTAAATGGACTTGTCAAGGATTAATTTGGCCTAATTCTGTTTATTGTTTTTGGGTTGAAATGATCAGATTTTTGTGCGATTATTTACTATTTTATCGAATATAACTGTCACCTCAGAATTTAGTCCTTATTAAAAATCGAACCTGGCCGGAAATAAATAAATAAATAAATAAATAAATAAATAAATAAATAAAT